CTATAAGCTCTACGTTCTCACAGGCGGGCGTCGTTCAACACCAGAGGGAGCGGGCGCCACTCGATGAGAGCCAAGAAAATTGAATCGAAACTGGGAAAATGAAGCCAGGTATGGATGACAGTGCCTATCCTTGGACTGCTGAAATTGTCTGTATCCATACTCCAAGTCTCAATATTCTCTCATCTACGGAGCCACACGCCCCCCTCTCCTCCTCCTCTCTCAAACTTGCCCCTCTTGGCTCCTGTTTTTCTGCCCCCTCTTCGTGAAACTCCACTCTCCTCTGAACTTGTACCAATATACTGATGTACCTGTCTTTTAATTCTACTTGATTGCAAAATTTTCTGACTTGTATTCAATGGAAGGAATGCCAAGAATTGACCAATTTGTCTACAAGGATCTACCAATGGCCCATGAATCCTAGGTCGTCAAATAGTTCACCGTGAGGCTGAAAAGAGCTGAAAGAAAAGTCTCCATAGTGTCCATCAAACCCAACCACTCCTTAATTCCTCTAACAGATAGCTTCCCTCGCCGCATCATCTAGGCCCAGACACTAAAAGTCAGATCTTCTCCGCCATCGCCCAACTACTGCTGGTGCTAGGAGATCATCTACTTTCAGGCTGAATGCATCCCCCATGTGGTTTGGAGAGTTTAATATTAAGCGTCCGCTTCCCGACGATATGCACCACTGTCCCAATAGAAAACATGCGCGTTTGTTGGTAGTAGATCTAGGGGTTTTACAAGAGTACAGTGGGTGTATATATGCGGTGAGCGCATAATGCATGCAGATGGATTAGGAATGGCATCACACTCCTTACAAGTATTGCCTATTCCTGTCTTTCATTCTCAGCTACATGTACTAGCAAATTACCCGTGTTAGCTCAGATAGTTCTGCATAGATACAGTATAGAGCAGCCGCAATCTTCAACAAAAAAAAGCTACTAGTTGCACGGGCGTTGCTCTAGTTTGTAGCAGCTAGTCGCAGGATCCAATAATGCCACGCGCAGAATTAGGCAGGCAGTCGAAGCCAAGAAAGAGAAGGAGATGAGATCGAATAGTCGCAGTTTTAGTAGCCCTCGCTAAAATAAAGCCGGTCCAAGAGCAACAGCACGCTTGTTAGCGGCTCAAAACACCCCTATCGCGTTGCTACTCTGGTGTCTTGTTTTCCTAGAAGTCCTATCCTTGTTAGATTGTCGAAACCTACTTGCCTGTCTGGAATTGGCGTGTTGAGAAATGAGTTTAAGCCTTGTTGTAGAGGACTCTTTCTCTCTTCTACAAGTATGTCTCTCTCACCATTACCATCTCAGAGAGTCAAAATGGTGGCACCATGCTGCGAGACTAAGCCATAAGTCGACCAGGAAATGCAAGGGGTGACAGTATTGTAAGCGAGTAAAACTAGTAGAAGCTGGGCGTCGTGAATATCTGGGCGCTGGAGGTTTTCTCACCTTTCCCGTTTTGTACTTGGCGATTACCTATCAAATGTCCAGATATCCGTTCACCATGCAAGTCATCACTATATCAATAGTTCATAGTACTAGGCACACAGATACAAGAGAGACACAAGTTGATGACAAAACATGAAGTGAAATTCACATGCTATAATAATCCCAAACACTATCTAATTTCATAACCTCATGGTTCCTCTATCGGAAGTTTATATATCCCATAACGCAGCTCTAAAAGATGATGATAAGCCAAACAGTAACAACAGAAAGAAGACCCAGTCGACTTCATAAAACCGTTTGCCAAAAAAACCAGTAAAGGAAGAAAAGAAAGGAGGACAAGAAAACAAGTATCCATCTATCCGCCCAGCCCATCAGCAAGCCCAATTGACCCCTTCATAATATGTCCCCGAGAGTGTCTTTTTTTGTAAATAAAAGAATATGAAAATAATCATCATCTTTCCAGCTTTAGCCCGCTGCTGAACCCCATGTACCCCGCTGATGCATCGTGATGTGTCCGTCCGGTTGTGTGTGCATGCGCCAAGTATCGATATAATATACAAGCCCAAAACGCCAATGAATGCCATAGTTGTACGGGTGTAGGCCTCCGTTATCTTAGGAAAGCCCTGAAACACCCTTCTGTAAGTCGTAGAACAGGTCTCGCCACTATATTCCCGTATTTCTCTTTATCCGCCGTAAGAGACCAGTCGCTTCAAAGCTTCCCCAAAGGTTTTCATCCCTACTCAACGAGCTGCACCAGCACGTCCAGCCAACCTTGCAACTTCTTTCCATCCACCACGCTCTTTTCCTCATTGATGCCACGTACACAGCCCAGCTCCACTCGGCCCTCTGGCAACTTGCTTTCACGATTAGCCGATTGGCTAGTGAACATTCAAGGTGGCACGGCAGTAAGCATGCAGAGGACTGTGGCGATATACGGCGTTGCAAGCATCGTATTCGTCGATTTATATTGCCTTTCGGAGATTGTCGTGGCCAAAAATGAGTCGTTCGGGGATGTCCGGATGAAGGTGGAGGAAGACTTTTTTGAAATGGTTGGACGGCCTTCTAGGCAGTCGTCGTGCAGTGAAAACGAGTGGAAACAGTGGCGATGGTGTGATGCGCGGCTCTCGGTGTCGTCTGTCGTCTAATACAATGAATACGGGTTGTTCCACTGACTTCGCTGCTGCAGCGGTGTGTGAGGCGCCGCGCTGTGTGCAGGATGAGCTGGCGGTTGGCTTTGATGAGCGTATGAGTGCAGCGGTGGTGGTGGTGGCGGCGCCTGCTGCGACTGCGGCTGGTGTTGCGGTTGGTGTTGCGGGTGTGGCTGAGAATGCGGGTGCTGGTGCTGGTGTTGCTGCTGCATATAAGTCGGCGGTAGACTGTGCATGGCTGGTGTGCTGAGTCTGAGTCCACCTGGCAGAGAGAGGCCATGTTAGTTGCTGCCAATGTCCCCATATGAGGAATAAAAGTATACTTACTGTTGTGATCAATCTCATCGTAGTCTTGCTTAATCTCCTTGAGGGAAGAGGGCATCATGGACGTAGGGACGCTTGTTGGGATGTATCCCACATTGTATTCGTCTCCATGGGCAGGTGATGAGGGGCTGGGAATGTTGCCAAGGACTGGGTTAGGAGGCACAGATGATGGCCATTGCTCGCTGGCTGCGCTGGTGATGTGTCCATAGGATTGCTGTGCATAGTCGGGGATCTGGTGAAAGTCGCCAGACGGCAGAGGCGATACCCTGGGGCTTGGCACAGCGCCGCTGCTGGAGCTGAGATCGCCATCATAGACTGATGGGCTTGGAGTTAGTTGTCCGAAGAGAAGGTCACGAGCGTTGTTGATGATGGTACTTGGCGTACCTGCGGCATTCGAGGAATAGGACGATTCCGTGGCGGTGTAGCCCAAGTGTTCCCGGAGTCTGGTAATCTCCTCCTCGAGGATCTTATTCCGGCGGAGGAGCTCCTGTACTTTTCTGTCGCGGCTCTGGACTCCTTTGAGCTCGGCCAATTCACGCTCCAGACGCTCAATGTGCTCCTTGGTCCTGGCCCGGATAGCTCTTTGGGCCTCACGATCGTTGGCCCTCTTGCGAGCCAGCTGAGCTGGAGTCAGAGTCGAGACGCTTCGAGTGCCTAAACATGACCAATTAGCTAACTAGTTCTTGACATGATTCGAGGCAATGTCCAAGAGGGGTAAAATGATGAAATGGAATGACAATGATCAACGCCGGGTAGCTGAATAGTATTGCTTGCGGGGGTGGTGTTGTCATATGAGATGCGAAGAAAGTGAGATGAGACTTACCCTTCCGCTTGGACGGTTTAGAAGGCTCTCCGGATGATGATCGCGGCATGTCGTATTGTATTCTGTATATGAGGGACATGCAAACTATAGTTACAATCGAATCGTAGGTCGAATTGAAGGTGGGCGGTTGCGGCGAGAGTCAAGAGCCGCAACGCGATTGAGTGGGGGAGCTATCGCAAAAAGTTGAAGAATTGTCTTTTTTTTCAGTCGAAATTCGCGTTACGTAAAGAGATGGATCGCTTTGTTCTTGTTGTATCGACGTCAACAGGGTAAATTCGAGAATCCGGTTCGAGCTTGTTGAAATCGAACACGGATATTGCTTCGTCACGAGAGCGAAGCAATGGCAATACGAAAATATGTGGTAGCAAGAACGCTGGCAACAGCGCCTGTGAAGAGAGAACTATGAGACTCTTGAACAGGTTCAGATAGCAGGCAAGCGGCCAGCAGATGGGAATCCGCGAGTCGAGTCTGAAAGATGAAAGATGTGAAACTTGATTTTCCAAGTGGGACAGAAAAAAAAAAGGACCAGAATATGATGCCGTCAGGTACCATATTATAATAATATGCTGCAATTGCCTTCGAGGCAGTCCCATCCACCCATGAGCACGGATCCACCGCAGTCTTCTAGTGAGTGCTTGTACCTCTGAAGGGACCAGATACTTTGAGGGTGGGGAAGGGGGTGTTGATAGAAGGAGTACTTCCATCGAGGCCAGCAGGGGGGTCGGGCGTGAGTCTAGACAAGCAGACCATCGAGCGGACGACCGGACTTCCTCAGGCTTGCAGCCAGAAGTGTGCGTGCTCTGTGGTGTGGCGTCTGCTAATAGTCGCAGCACTGGCATAGGCGTCGCAGCAAAGCGGATAAGGTGAAGTGAGCGTACCGAGCTGGTATCGGTACGGCCAGGGCCTACGCGGGGAGAGGCCCTGGCTGCCAATCAAGGCCGCGTCTGAGGTTGCTGGTACTTGGACGAGAGACAGGCGAGAGGGAGCCTGGCAGCGTCTGCCCCTCGGACCGCGCTGCCTTAGTGTCCAAGCCGAAGAAATGCATGCATGAAGTACCAGCATGTACTCCAGGATATAGTGCCTCAGCTGGGGGCGCAAGCCAAGCAGCAAGCAGACAGGCAACTAAAGGCGAAACAAGCTGCTGTGCGGCGGCGGCGGCGGCGGCGGCGGCGAGACAGCAAGCATGAGGCTCGCTCCAGAGGCCAAAGAGGCCCCAAGAGGCCATCAACCAAGTCGCCAGTCAACGTGCGAATGGCAAGCCTACTAAGGTGGCCGTTTCGCCGCCTGGAGTCGTGAGCAGCTCCTCGTTCGTTGCAAGGGATGGAGGCGGAGCCGATCTGGCTGCGACGCTGCTGAAGTACAAGTAGCGTCTCGTGCATCTGCGTCGATTCGACATGTTGTTTGATGGAGCTCAGCAGCCCGTCTCGCTCGCGCCCGTCGCCGTGTCTGACAGCGGAAGTCGCCTGCTAGGCTGTCGATACAAGCAAGGCATGGTCCGACCCCGTGGAAGCGCTGGGCTTGCATGCTATTCTGGTGCTCGTAGTGCCGACATGGCGGCAGTGCGGCGTCTGGACGCACAGTATTCCGCAGACGGACTGGATCGCGATCTAGGCTGGCTAGTCCACTGGGCCCCTGCCATGTACGGTACCTCGATATACGGCCAGACGGCGTAGGTCTGTTTGGACGACGCTCGTCGAGGCATAGCGCCAAAGGCGTGTTGATGGGAGATGGAGAATGGCATGGCCATACAGTACCGTACAGTTGAGCGACGGCTATCCACCTGCTGCATGTTAGTGCCAGAAGACAAAATCTCGCCCACTTGCTGGATGTGCGTACAGTTCTGGCATGTACAAGTAGAGTTCTTGTCGACAACGGCCCCCGGTCTGTCTGCTGAGCGATACGAAGAGTTGAGGGGCGCAGTGCAGAAAAGAGAGACAGCAGATGTCTCTGCTGCTTTGCACTGCATGAACCCCATTAAGCTGGATCTCTGCTCCTCTTATTGCCTTGGCAAGCTGGTGATTTCTCTCTTCTCTCCGTCTCTTTCTTCTTTCTTCTTTCTGTCTTCCTCTCCTCTCTCGCCTTCCCATCTCTCCCACGCTTCTTGCTCTGGCTCGTCCTCGTCCCAGCCCAGCCCTCCTTTTGCGAATTCGTGCGGGCTTCAGCGGCAGACCTGCGGCCAGGGACTTGCTTGCTTGCGGTGGATCATCTCCGGTCGGCGTACAGTATATGGCATCCTGTCCTGACCATTGGCCGTTGCAGCAGCTGCAGCTAAACAGGCCTTGGGGTGCGCCTCTTCTTGCTGCTGCTGAACAAATTGGCGCCTGCGGCTGGCGCCCCCATTTTTGGTAGTGGTGTAGGACTATTTCGACGCGCTGGCTGACTTGACCGCCGTCCATTGCAGATGGAAAAAGGCTCTAGCCGTGGACTAGACCGGGATGATGGTGGAAGTTTGGAGTTGGGCCATCGCGATTGACGGCTACAGGTCGAGGTACATGATAACATGCATTTCTAGCTGCAGCCCTTAGCGCCGCATGGATTGGCAGATACATGTAAAGCTGCAGCCCAAATGCCTGACCGCCTCGCGACAGTTGCAATCGAGTAACAATATGAGAAACGCGAGCACGCAGGTATCGAGTACCTTTGATTAATTTACAGGATACCGAATACTCAATATTGCGGTGAAGGGGTTGCGTAGGGCTGCTGCAGAGACATATCACCATGGTGGTCGCCAGAGTACTTGGAGGTACCGATAGCACGCAACGCTGTCAACTGCAGGTGGCTTTATGCCCTATTGGTGCCACTGCCAGCGAGATTAGATTCCTCAGCAGTTGCTAGAAGCACTGAAAGCACAACTTCCTTCCACTATCTCCCACTAACCGCAATGCTACCGTGGTGCTAGGCCCAGCCAGCACTACATTACCTCGGTATTTGATGCTATTAGCTGCCGCCACCAGAAATCAAGGCTGCTAAAGGAAAACTGGATAGAAAGACAAATTAAAGTAAGGCGAAATAAAAATTCAAAAATCATAGCATTTTGAGCTGGAGCAAGAAAATACCCAAAGCATCATTTGGCGAGAACGAGAACGATGGAGTAATTGGGAGGTATTGATGTAATCGGATAAGATTAGTCAGTCCGGAGCCCTGAAGGGCTGAGTGCATGCACTATAGCAGAGACTCCAGCAAGGCAGCACTATTCTGCCTCCAACATCGTTAGCAACACCTCAGCAAACATCACATCATCTCCATCTTCCATCTCCATTTTCCACTTGCAGCATCGTGCATTTGCATTTCGCCACTGCTTCTAATCCTACGCTCTGTCAGCGGTTGTACCTGCAACTCCAAACGGTACTTGCAACTCTCCAAAGCACATCGTGTGCGCCTAGTTTCCGCCGTCATCCGGCACCATGTCCAGATTCCAAAAGCACTCGTTCACGCCCCTTCCGAAAAGATGCTGTTACTACGCTCCCAAATCGTCGATAACAGTCAAGATCTCAAGTTTGTTTCTCAACGGCCAGAGTAGATGTGGTCTAGCGCCTTGCTATCCCTCCTAGCACAGCCGGCACGGCCGCAAATCCCGGCATCCGGCTCACAACAAGAGTGGGCGGCAGACGTTTGGAAGCTTCGAATTGTTCCAGAAAGCGGATATGTCATCAGCAAAGCAACCAGAACACAGCACACAGCCGATCTTTCACCGAGGGCCCGAGCATTGCCAGCGCTGGTGATGCCGCTGAGCCTCTGACAGACAGGGCTCCGAAGAATTAGGTTGGGTGGCACCAGACTCGAGCATGGTGAAGATGTCACGCACACCCCTCAGAAACCTCGTGCCGTCATCAGAGGCGCTGCTTCTAACCTGTGTTTGACCTAGGGCTTTACTCTAGGCCACAGAGCCAAAAAGCGAACACTGGCCTCCTCATTCTACACAGGAGTTTGCGGTCCGTCGATTTGGATGAGTGCCTCATTGGGCTATTTCTTCCTTTCCCAATATTCCTGAGCGACTAGTGCGTGCTGCAGATAAAAGAGGCTGCATGCTAGACTACCGCGCGGCGCGTGGCAATTTCTCAAGCAAACGACGCCAACCCCCAATGGCGGAGACCGTTTTTTGTCGGTGCGAAAATCCGATGGACAGTGACAGCGAAAAGGATTGTTCCGAACTTTGCGGCTGGTGCGGCATGCGATCCCGATTACCGCAACCCACGATCATAAGGGCTTACCAATCTTTGGTCCGCTGGGCCGTTCGATTGCCGTGGCTATAGCGGAAACCTTCTAATATGCATTACCTACAACGAAAGATGTGTGTGTAGCTCGTTTTGTACAGCAACGTCATTTAGAAGAGCGAGGGCAGCCACGGAATGTCAAGGGAAAAAAGACGAAGCCAGCCACCATGCCCTGTCGCTTCTCGCACGGCCGACCGCCGGCAACAGTATACGGCAGTTCCCGCTATTTCCATTTGACACCCCATATCGATAACTTTGGGCTCCAATCCACCAAGCCAGCAGCCCGCACTGCTTGGAGGAGGCTGTCTCAGAGTGCTTGCTAACGCCGTTCATTGTCTGCCAGACGTCCACTTGGAGCCCCTGGCATCTGCAACATGACTATTGCAATCAAAGACTGGCGGATCGATTGGTTGACTGACCGTCATGGGGCTTGCTCAAGACACTTACAGTACGGAGAACCTGCAAGACGCATCCCCATCAGTGTTTCCGTGAAGCATCTTGCAAAGTCTTCAAACCCCCCATCTATCCCCCACGAGATTCTGTTTGCCCAAACATGACCATTGGGTTGCCCTCTGCATCAAAAGGGGAAAAAGATACCAACAGAATTCGCCTGCTCGACACGCTCGCTTATTAACTGCATCTCCGCTTTCCAACTAGTAGCAAGGTGCTTGGCTGGTGAAATGCTGCTTCATCGTCATTACAGCCATTTAGCGTGCAGCTTATCACAACTCAGCTTCAGCTCCTGGTCCTTGGGCTCATTACGGAGAGTGGTACCTACCACAAGCGCTACAAGCAGTAGAAGACAGCTAGAAGCATGGAAGCACAGGGGTTCCCCTGGTGAGTGCGCGGGCCTCTTACTGGCTGCCGCTCCTTTGGTTCAAACGAGTTTTTCTGGAGCACTCGTCCGTCTGTGGTTTTTCTTCATCGGACGCACGCTCCGCCGGCTAGACAGACTGTTCCTGGCAAACGCTCGGTCTCAGCAAGAGCATGGAGCATGCAGCCCAAAGAGCGGAGACGCAATGCCAGAGAGTGATCAGGGTGTGTACGGAGTGCCGGCGTTTGCTGCCGCGTATACTTGGTGTAGATGACGGCCGAGTTACCTAGTTTGCTGACAGAAGTGACAGAAGCAGTATACGCTGAGTGTTCCTCGTGTCTTCTAGCAGGGTCTAGTGTAACGCCAGACACGCTCACATCACAACCTGTCAAGCCACTTAGCGCACAGGGCATTGAGGCGGTACAGTGTCTTCTCACAAGTGCAAAACGGCACCGTGCTGCATCCCGAACTGGAGATTGCTCGGTGGTTTGAACGGAAAGCTGAGCAGCGACCCGGTAGATCATTTCGCGCTACTCTTGCACTACCGGAGCGCCGGCTCCTGGATAAAACGGAAAGCTACCTAGTTTCTCTTTTGCCTATTGCACAATCACCGGTCCGTAATTAGCAACTGGTCGACATCCACCCACCGCATGGTTTTTGGAGAGCAGTAGCCGCCGGGTACCTAGAAGATTAGGGGCAGAATACTCGCCTAGGCAAGCGAGCCCGGAGACACATGCAGAGTTGCCCGTTTACAGTGACAAGACAATCGTCTTTGTAATTGAGCTTTGGTAAGATTTCCCTTTTCAGTCTTTGTTGCTGCGCATCAAAGACTCTATACTAAGCTAGATTTTGGTGTCAGCAGCAACGTCAACAACAGATGTCATCATTAGGCGCGGCGCTCCCGAATGGGCAGTATGAGATGCTTCCATGCTTTTTTTGGTGTACTACCGCCTACTACCAGCCGCACTTTGTTGCCCTGCAAACTGACGCCAGGAATGGAATCTAATTACTAGAACAAACAACCATTGCACGCATGACAAGCATATTTAGAGGCACTACTGTACTATGACGGGCGAAGTCGGACAAGAGGAACAATTTCGAGATAGAAAAAGTGCACTGGAGGGCCTTGGGTGGCAAAATCTACCAAAAAAATTGCTCGCCGGAGATCTGTGGTAGCGTCGTTTAGCTTCATGTCACAGCAGTTGCCAGACGAAGTCTTGTTACAAGGCTCAAGGTGTTTTTGAGACTCAACTCCACACCGTTCGAAATTTTTGAACAGCCCTCCTAACATTGGAACGGGATGCCTGTGTCCAATTTGCGCTTTGTTCGCCGTCCATATTGGCTACTTGAAAAGTATGCTGACAAGAAGAAACCGTGCGTCCGACGGTATTATGCCTAACCATTAGAGTTGCGGCACTATAGCCAGGGCCAACGCTCTGGCAAGCAACATTCCAGGTGTACGGAGTTTTACTTGTAGACCATGCAGCCTGGGAATATGTGCCCCCCTGCATTAATCCCGGAACATGGCGAGTCCGGAAAGGGATCTATCACTTGTTTGTCCGGCAGCATCCTGCAGGCTGGCAGCTATGCTTACATCACAACGACCAATAAAGGCGTTTACACGCAGTGAGGCACTTGGGGGTGTAAGTTGTGCCACCACTACGTTGTATGCCAGTATACTTACAACTTTTACGCAACAACGTTGGAGTAAAACTACTGACTGCCTGCATGGCAAGCAGGGGTTGAGAAAAAAGAGGTTGCATACTACGGTATCACTACCTACACTGGGACCGCTCAAGTGCGTGCGTTTCTGTTACCAAGGCTCAGCAAATAACACACCGAAGCTGAAAAATCGTTAGCCCCCTTGGCAGGAACAAGCAACCAGCGGGAAATTTTTTTTTCGCCTCCTTTTTTTTCTTCTTTGTCAGGTTTGAAGGATGCTTTTGGAGGTGGACAAGCTGTGACGATGGTTTGGCCACAGCTTGGACATGGAGTCGACACCCTCATTTAGTAGGGCGAGACTCGACAAGTGATGTTTGGAGCTGAGAGCGATTATTTGTTTCAAATTTCCATCTGCCCGAACTGAGACATTTGCTCATACTATTTTTAACGAAACAGGAGCCCGGTTCAGCCAGAGACACTCACACACTCACATGAATTCGCCTTCTCGCTACTAGTAATACAAGCATGTACGGTACCAGCATACAGACATCATTGTACATCACCAACGTCCCTTTACGCGCACATTCTCGGACAAACAGGCCGAAGACCTCAATCGTCATTTATTTGAACACCGGGTGGCAGTATCCATCTTTTCTAGGCATCTACATTTCCATCTCTTTTCATGCATGGCACACGGGCTGGGCTG